TGGGGTTCGGGGTTGAGGCTTTAGGGTTATGTTTAGGGTTAAAGGGTTGAAGGTCTATTCATAGGGTTTAGGGGCTGGGGTGCTCATAGGGTTTAGGGTTCAGGGTCCGACAAGCCCGATAGGAAGATATCAGCTGCTCAGGATTTAGGGTTGTGGGTCTCCGGCTGCCTTCGTCTGTCAGAGAAAAGACGGGTATGCCCTAAATCCGAAATCCTAAGATTGGCGCCCAAATACCTAGAATAGGGCTTAGGGTGTATTCTCGAGATTCAATGGGTTGGCTTGGTGGCTGATGTACGAAGGGAACCCTGATTTCGTAAGGTTCTAAAGGGGTAAGGGCTCCGCAATAAAGAGCCTTAGTAATCAAAACGGGGTTATACAAAAGTTGCTATATAGAGACGATAAGGAAACATCACTGCGAATGAACTATTCTGACCTTATGTTAGATTTGGGTACAGAGGGCTACGCGCAGTGCGATGTGGTTATTTGTTGAAAGGTCGTGAGCTACGAAGCTCAATGTAGGGGCCTCAATAATCAGAATCGGATTGTGGTATACTCTACTATAGCTATGCTAAGTAAGGACCCCAGAATAGTATTGGTAATCATTTAGAACCCTAGAGTAGCTACCTCTGGCCGTCGGTTCAACCTAAAAGCCGGCCAATTCGCTACGCGGGGTTTCGGGGCTCCTGGGAGAAGGGTTGTGCGCACACTTTCACTGATTCCCAGCAGCTAGAAGTGAGTTGACAGCTAGAAGTGAGTTTTGACAGGACTCCGGCAAGAGGTCAGAAGATTTAGGACTAGACTGCCCTTATGAAAACTCATATCTTCCCCACCAGAATAGCCTTCCCAACCCTCTGTATGCCCTAATAATGCCTTCCACCTCGGAACCCCGCGCAGGGAGTCAAACCCTAAACTCCTTAACCCTGCTTCATGCCAAAAACCCACATGGCCAAAACCCGAAACCCTACATTCTGACTGCGCGTTTCTTTTTCGCACGCCGGTGCCACTCCTCAGCGTTGAACGGTTGCATGCAGTGCTACAGAGTCGAAGGTTCTAGGAATGCTGGAATGTTAGCCTTCGGGGTTATAGGGTTGTGGGCTTAGGTTTTAGGTTGGAGGTGTGAACCTCAGGCCTTATGACCAACTTTGTCGCTCTGTTCCGGAATCGTGCAGAACCCCAGATGCCAAAACCTGATTTGAAGGTCGGGCTGACGACAACCGCTCACACCCCAGTCGAAGCACCCGCAAAACTTAAACATCAAATTCAGTGCCACAGGAAACCCTGAACTCTGCTAGAACCGGGCACTTAGATCTCTAAGATGAAAAGACGAAATTTTTCAAATTGCGATCTATGAAACCATTGCTGGGGTGCACTGTCTTGAAAGCCTTCCGACTGATTGCCAATGCCTTTTCTTCGCTCTGTAGAATATTCAGTGAGTATACGGCCTAGGGTCCAGGTGAACATGGGGCCGTTCTTGTAGTTAACTGGGTTTGGGGGTTGACTCATAATATGCTTATACCGGGACTAAAGCAGGATAAGTTACTAGCATTTCTAATTACTCCGAACCCTAAATTCGGGTTTCGGGCATCGAGTGTCCGTAGCACGCTATGCAAGCTGTCGCAGCAGGTATTTCAGTCAATAAGGGCTGTAGGACGGCACCTGGCAGCGGCATGGAGATGCGGAACCTCCTAGGATCCTATAACGACAGGGATTCATGCACCTTCTAGGATTATGATATATTACAAGCGATGGTCGTGGGGATCTTGATCTGAGGGATCTTGAAGAAAAGGTGGGTTGTTTATCAGGGCGCAAAAGCAGTGGCATCCTCAGTATGAGAGTCCTGACACCCCCAACCTGATGGCCTGATGGTGCAATCGAGACTTGAGCTACACCTCCGAAAGAAGAGTGACTTCAACCCCCATAGAAGTCGTCTAAGCTTCAACTTCTCAACCAGACAATCGAAAACGTCGACACCCCTCACCACCGTCTCGGATTTATTCGCGGGTACAGTAGTTTAGAGAACCTTTAGGGGCCTCGTCGGTTTATGACAAGCCCGGGCCGAGTAGTCCGAGTGTTACGCAAGGTTTGCAAAGTGGCAGCTTCGCCCATTTGTGGGTGTTCGGTGCTACTTCTAAAACAAGAAGAAGCCGCGGAGCACAAGGCCAAAAGAAACCGTAACAGACTATAGTGCAGTAGCAAGAACACAAGAGCTCAAGGTCACCCTGAATGCGACAGTTTCCAGCGCCAAACTTCATTCTAAAGGCACCCTCTCTGGATGCTGGGCCCTTGGCAATCCGTCAGCTGTGGCTTGCTACTTTCCATGAACCGCGACATGAAACCGAACATCCGTGGCCTCCGCTAGACCTGTTGGTCGACCACACCGCCATCACCCAAGCGACAAAGTAAACTCTGGGAAAGATTTTCTAGCCCGAAGAAAGCAGGAGGGAGGAACCGCGCCGGTCACAGCGGCTTTGCCATAGCCGCCATAGGCTCCTCGAGCTGACGCATGCCGAAGTCGTGTGGTATAGAATGAGATGCAGTAAGAGGCTACTGATGCGGTTGCAAACACCACCACAAACACCATCATGGCCGTCACCCCTGTTAATTCTTAGTCAAGCAACTACGCGAACAAATCTACTTCCGCCCTCTGGTGAGTGCTTGTCTTTGTTTGAGATGCAGCCGTATGAACCTTGCTGATTAACGAAGTCGAAGACTGAAGCTGGCGTCGTTGAAGCATCTTTACCCGGGGTCCACGAAGGTTGCACGAACCCCGGCCCGCAGCATCTACCCCTGCAAAATGCTACATCGTTGTTTAGGGTGTAGGGTTTAGGGGCTGTCTTGATATGTTGTTCGACTCACAACACTGACGCCTTGAACGAGTGAGAGTCGAGATATGCGATGCGCAAAGCCAGCGACACGGCAACTCCTTTGCAAAACGGATCCCAGACCGAAGGATATACTCCAAAATGCAAAACTATAAAATCCACCAGCCCAGTGAAAGAAAGCTGTGGAAGATCACCGAAACATCAGCAACTTAGCGACATAAGGGCTGCGGCTCAAGAAGTTGCTGCTCACAAGCGAGGGCTTTGGGCTTTGGGTTTAGGGTTTAGGGTCTAACTTTAGGGTTTAGGGTTTAGGGCTTACAGCGAATAAGCCGCAATCAAATCCTTCCCAGACTCAAACTCCAAATCCCCAAAGCCTGAACCCTAAAGCCCCCAACTCTAAACCCCTGAACCCTGGACCCTCAAACCGTCAAACCCCAACCCATAAAGCACAGAAACATGATATAAATCTCCCGTGCCCAAAGTCTCCTCCGCCGCCTTCTCCTCCGGCGACTTTCTCAACACTGGCACCCGACGGTCGCCCGCCAGAGACGTCGATACTGAAGGACACCCAGTCGCCTTTGGTTCTGGGCCCATGCTCGTTTCCTTAGGCCTTCTTGTCCTTCACTCCGCCGATTGCAACAGTGCGTAAATAGAGACCAAGTAATCTGGAACAGCAATGGGTAGGCAGCTCAAAAAAAGAGACTTCTAGCCAATCCAAAACCATTGAATGATGGAATATACACCTTAGATCATAATAGGGATCTCCCATAACTTGCGGTATGTTCCAGTGAAGGGGCTTTCGAGTCTCTGAATAACTTACATGCGGGATTCGCGGGATCCGTGTGAATACTCGAAGGCAGCCCGCAATTCTGCAACTAATATAGGCGCCTTGATAGTTAGAATAGGGTTTGGGGGTATATTCTACTGTAACTATCATAGACATTAAGTTTCCGGCTTTGGGTTCACAATCTGGATTACTCGAACAACCCTAAACTCCAAACCAGGGTTACGGGCTTTAGAGCTGCACTCCTGCCTGCCGCGACGGCATCCCCAACGACTGCCTCTGCGGAAGCACCGGAGTGGGTGGTCGAAGTTTGACAGCTTCAGGAGGCGACCTCCTTTGGCCTTCGAGGTTTAAGTTAACGACTCTTTAGGTTTTTTTCTTAAGGTTTAGGGTTAACGACCACCTGCCGTAAAAGGCCCTATCAAAGGCTTGGCCTTAGGTGGCGACGACGATGTGATGGCGGGGAGGACGCCGAAAATGACGACGACACCACCGAAACAATGACGATGCCGACGACGACCACAACGACGACGACGACGAGGCAGACGAGGCCGACGACAAAGACGGCGACGGCGACGCCGACAACAAGCAGCAAGAAGAAGAAGAAGAAGGATCACCATAGATAATATAGGGGCCTTAATAATTGGAATAGGTTTTGGGGTATCTTATACTGCAGTTATAATAAGGAATCCCCAAAACCCTAACCAAATGTTAAGACCCCTACTGACGGCTGCAGCTACATTCAAAATGATCCCTAGTGTCAGCATCACCGCCACCATCACCATCCGCATCGTCGGCCAAAGTCTTCATCAATAACAGCACCGTCTTTATTGCAAAAGCGCCGTAACCAGCATTGCACATACAAGTCTTCAGACTTTCCTTGAGTGGTCCTTCACTGTCTTAATTACTGTCTGCAGCTTTTAGCTAGTCATGACGACTGATGTCCGACATTGAGCTTCTGACCTCGAGGGTCTGGCAGTTGCTTAGCGCGGCTTCGGTAATGTAGGGGCCATTAACCTTAATAATTAGACGAGGGTTTTGCGGGTATATTATGCTTACTATAAAATTAATAAGGAGCCCCCAAAATAGTATAGGTAATTATTAAGGCCCCTATATTAATCGGTCTCCCAGAGAACCGGGACCTCTCAGATTGACCGCATACCGAGATGGACAGATGCATAATTGTAACCACACAACCCTAAACCCTAAAAGTGCAGTTTTGCGTTGAGCCTAGGCCTTCTCAAGCTACCCAATTAATTATTGAAATCTCGCCACAATCCTAGACCCCAGACACCCCCCTTCCATCCGAAGTATGCTGCTGCGCACCTTTTGGTGAAAGAAGATGTCAGTGCCGAACAACTCTTTCGCTTGCGGGCTCTCGATGAAGCCCCATCCCTTGCCTGCAGGCAGGAGGTTTAGGGTTTAGGGTTTGGGTTTTACCGATCAGCCGTGCGCTGCTAGCAGTGGTGCTTGGTAGTTAGTTGCCCACCCACCCACCAACTCACCAGCCGCACTGATTAAGATGGTGTCTCACACGGATAAAGGCTTCTGAAGTAGGGCAGCTTCAGAAGCCGAAGCTGCCGCTGTCAGATGACCCCAACAACCTCACGATGTTCACGACTTTCAGAAGAGCAGGCTTGGCAGTTTCGCGAAGTCAACATCACAACTCAGAATTGGAAACCCGGTTTAGGGTTGAGGGTCTCGCCGATCGGAGGCACACCGAGGTGTGAAGTTATTCTGTTTAGAGGGTAGGGCCTAGCACGTTGAATTGAATTGAAACGAGGCCACAGCAAGGCAATGCAAGCAATGCATGTGAACCTAAACCTTACTCCAAACCCCAAACTCTAAACCCTAAACCTTAATCGCCTTAATCCGCGACTCCAAGCGGTATCCCACAATGCCTGGGTTGAACGACGAGACCGTGCCAGAGAAGCTCCTTGAGATCGTGCATGCGCTAGATCCCAAACCCAGGTAAATGGGGTGTTTCATGATTATGATTATGATGATATTTACTACTATGCTTATGATGATAATTACTATTATGATTATCATTACTAGTATTATGATTATTATTATTTCTTCAGAGGGTCCTTACATTGAGGAGCCTTGACTCTGGGGGACTTTCTTGGAGTCTAGCAGTCTCTGCAACTAATAAGGAAACTCTAAACCCTAAACCCAGAGCCCTAAATCCTAAACCCTGAATCCTAAACCCTAAACCCTAAACCCTGAACCCCTAAACCCTAACCCTAAACCCAAAGCCCTAAATCCTAAACCCCTAAACCCTAAACTAGTCGTTTCTGCAACTCCCATATGGGACTCAGAGCCCCTGAAGCAGTCTTCACCTACACCGGAGCCGATCCCAGAAACGTGGATCCCAGACCGGCATAGTAGTTTGCTATGTGTTATTATGAGTATCATTATTATCAAACCATTAATATCATTATTCTCGTTATTATCATTATCATCATTATTATTATTATCACAACAGTATTATGATTACTATTCTTAGCATTAATATTGGTATTATCATTATTGTTAATAGCTAGCTTACCTCAACCTGCAAGCCAGAACCCATCAAGCCACAAGAGCCCTCGAATCCCACAGATCTTCCGAGGCTCCGTCGCTACTAAACCCTAAGCCCTAGGGTTTAGGGTTTATAGGGTTTAGGGTTTAGGGTTTAGGGTTTAGGGTTTAGGGTTTAGGGGTTAGGGTTTAGGGTTTAGGGTTTAGGGTTTAACTAACTAAGCCCTAAAACCCTAAACCAGATTGAATTAACTAAACCCTAAACCCTAAACCAGTTTTAACTAACTAAACCATAAACCAGTTTTAACTAACTAAACCCTAAATCAGTTTCAACTAACTAAACCCTAAACCCTAAACCAGCTTTCACTAACTAAACCCTAAGCCCTAAACCAGCTATCACTAACTAAACCCTAAGCCCTAAACCAGTTTCAACTAACTTGAGGCCTGGGGCAGGAGTTGATCAGGTGCCTCGGCTTTGCTCTTCAGGTCGGTGAATGGTTCGTGCCCTCCAAGTCATAATCCCGATGGAACAAGTCGAGAGATCGAGACCTCCCCAAGCCCCAAGCGCCGAGCTCTTTACACCCACAGGATAGAGCCCAGGGTCTGCCCTGCCGCCGCGCTAATCTCGCAAAACTTGATGTTGATGGCATGGGGCCTCGATACGTCTTGAATGACAAGATTCAGAGGTTTAGATTAAATTGCGGCTTGAGCAAATGTCTGGGTCTGGAGCTTCCTTTTTCGTGTGTGTGGGGCGGGGATGAAGGAACATCGGAACGGTCATGGTTAGCCATGATTCACGAATAGAATCTGGGGGTTCTAGGGCTGGGACAGGTCGGGTTCCATTGGTTCTTGTCGTCGGTGACATCTAGCTAGCTTCGGGCTTAAGGGTTTTGTAGCTAAGGGCTTCGGCCAAGCCAGCGTTGCGGCTTCATGAAGGTGTATGGGTTTAGGGGTTTTAGGGGCCGGTGAGGCATGCCTGACAGAGCCTAGTAGGGAGGGCTTTAGAGCTCTGTTGCGCTATTCTTGGAGTGCATCGTCAATCGCGTGCTGAGCACCCATCTGACAGTAGAGACGGCCTTCCACCACGGACTTCAGAAGCTCTTCCCGTGTTTTGTTTCAGGCTCGGGGTTTAAGGTTCAGAGACGGGGTGGAGATGCACATTCTTGGCTCCTTATTATACGTATAGTATAGTATACCCCCAAAACCCTAGTCTACTTATTAAGGCCCCTTTAAGAAGGTTATAGCACGGGGGGCCTCACTGGTGAAAGTCCGCTTTCGGTTGCAGGTGCACTGGTGATGCAATAGGATGCAAGGAACGCTTACGAGCTGGATTGTCGTTCATGAGGGTGTAATCTTGGGGGCCTGAACGAATCGTGTTGCTCAGGGTTCCTTATTCTTATGCTTGTCGCATAATACCCTAGACCCTAAACCCTAAACCCTAAACCCTAAACCCCTAAACCCCAAACCCTAAACCCTAAACACCCAAATATAGCACCCTCATCGTTGAGGCCCGAGCTCGGCTTCGGGTTCAGGATTGCGCTCTAAGGCTTCGGGGTGCAGGGGGCAGGGTTCCGATTCAGCCCCGTTTCGGGTTTAGGGTTTAGGGGTTGGGGATCATGAAACACCGAAGGCTGCTTTAGGGTTTAGGGGGTTGGGGATCATGTAACACAGAAGGCTGCAACTCGTTGCCAATCGACTTCTCAAGTTGGGCCTGAACACCAGGCCCGCAAGCTAACGAACCCTGATGAAGCAATACCCTTCAAAACTGGAGACCCGCAGCACCCAAACCCAAAGGAGAGCAACCCGGAACCTAACCCTAAACTTCTAAACCCCAAACCCTCAAGTCAATACCCGACCCTGAATCGAAATGCCAGGCTCGCTGCCCTTTGTGTCCTGCTGAGACATTGAAGGAGACCTCACACGTGGAATGGTGCTTATTTGGTTCGGTGCGGCACTCCAAGGCCAATTGAAGACCCGGAATCCCAAACCCCGCCAAATGCTAATCATTGAATCCCTACCTAAACCCCCAAAGTGAGTAGAATTATGACCCAAGACCCATAAAAGGCTATGATTTTATATACTTTTGCGGTCCAGGTAACCCTAAACCCTAAACTCTGTAAGC